TTTTGGGCGAATAAAGTAAAAAAACGAATGTTCTTTCCCCAGCTGTGCGATGTAATAATACATAATGGCCACTAGATGGAGCTGAGGAGCACTTATTTCCTATGCTCATTGGCTCCATCTAGTGGCCATACTGTATTACAACACACTACCATTAGACATGTTAACCCCAAAACATTAAATAAATATTTGTATAAATACAATGAATCCTTGACATCTACTGGGAACGTACCGTCACACACCGGGCAGCAGCTTTCCTCAGGCTGGATGGGACGGCTGCAGTTCAGAGGTTGGCACACGATAGGGTCACAGATCACCGTGCGCTTCTGATAGAGAGAGACGAAGGAAAAAGGTCATTAGATGATTTCCCACCATGGAGATCAGGGGTAGGCAACCTCAGCACTCCAGCTGTGGTGAAACTACAATTCTCGCCTGCCTCTGGGAGTCAGGGGCCCACTGAATTCTACATGAATTGTGTATCATTGTATACAGTATATACAGCATGTGGTGACACGCAGAGGAGGTGTACGTGCGTCTCTGCTCTGCACACAGACACGGGGCAGATATGTAGTAATTGCTGTGCTGTAATGTATGTCAGATGTGTGACCCGAGTGTCAGGACTAGTACAGCTCAGCACGCAGATAACTTGTTGCAGATGACGGAACTTGCTTCTAATCCCTCCATACAGATCAATAGGATGCTGCTCATCATTGCCGCCATTGCTACCATGGCTGATGTGCCCCAAGATCAGAGGGGAGCCTCTTCTGGAGGACATCGGTACTACAGAATCTCTGCCCATCTGACCTGAGCTGGATGGAGATGACGGAAGGCAATGCAGACCATCAGCCTTGAGAGCCCGGCACAACCATAGGGCGATGGTGAGCAACTTTCTCTGTATAGAGCATCTCAACTCTGGAGATGGTCAGTGACTGCAGACATGATACAGGAGATGGTCAGAGACTGCAGACATGGTACAGGAGATGATCAGAGACTGCACACAAGCTACAGGAGATGGTCAGAGAATGCAGACATGATACAGGAGATGGTCAGAGACTGCAGACATGATACAGGAGATGGTCAGAGACTGCAGACATGATACAGGAGATGGTCAGAGACTGCAGACATGGTACAGGAGATGATCAGAGACTGCACACAAGCTACAGGAGATGGTCAGAGAATGCAGACATGATACAGGAGATGGTCAGAGACTGCAGACATGATACAGGAGATGGTCAGAGACTGCAGACATGATACAGGAGATGGTCAGAGACTGCAGACATGATACAGGAGATGGTCAGAGACTGCAGACATGGTACAGGAGATGATCAGAGACTGCACACAAGCTACAGGAGATGGTCAGAGAATGCAGACATGATACAGGAGATGGTCAGAGACTGCAGACATGATACAGGAGATGGTCAGAGACTGCAGACATGATACAGGAGATGGTCAGAGACTGCAGACATGATACAAGAGATGGTCAGAGACTGCAGACATACTACAGGAGATGGTCAGAGACTGCAGACATCATACAGGAAATGGTCAGTGATTGTGAGCATGCTATAGGACTTGTAGACTGAGGACATGTATCAGGAGGTTGTCATAGGCTGTAGCCATGTTAGAAAAGACTGCTAAAGCACACTGCTATTACAGCCCTTTTACAAATCATTGCTCGCTCACCTACTTGTACTCCCTACAGCCCCCTTTAAAGAGGAAGTTCACCCGGTACAGGGAAAACTAGAAGTCAGCAGATACAAATGCTGTAGCTGCCGACTTTTAAAAAGCACAAACTTCCAGCCCATGGAGTCCAACAACGTCTTCCTATGACCTAAAGTCTTCTCAACCTTTTCCTCTCCAGCACCCCCATCTTGGATCTGAGAACTGGCTGAGCGGTCAGAGAATGACACTCGGCTCCCAAATCAAAGATGGTTGCTGAAGTATCACTGAGCGTGAGCATGCCGGCAGACTATGGAGAGAGTGCCCTGAAGCCCCCGGGGATGTTTGACATGTATCTCAGGAGGTTGTGGGGGGGGGGAGGCCAAGTGCACCTCATTGAATAAGAAAGTGAACCGCAACAGAAAAAAAAAAGACTC